TGGTCATTCACCATTTTATCACTTAAATTTTAAATACCAAAAATTCAAGTAACTTCATAAATTCGAGAAATTCCATAAATTCCAGTAATGGAATTATCACCAACCAATTACTTTTACAAAGGTACAATTAACTTTAAGCACCCCAATTATATAATTGTTGCATTTAAATCAATAATCCTTTTAAACTTCCAAAATAATCATATTTCACATCTAAATGCTCATTTCAATCCCAAAATAACAATTTCCAGCATATTACATCAACTATTAGACAATTATACAACCATTCCCAACTTTTTCCAAAATTATGAATTGGTTCCTCAACTTTTCGAAAATTACAAAATGGTCCCTGAATTTTTCCAAAGATTGTAAAATACTTTCTACATCATTTCCAGACATTATATAATTTTTCCATAATTTTTCTCATCCTTTAAGACCAAAGCCTAATGATTTAAAGATCAAAAACTAGGTTTTCCATGATTTTGATCGATTTTGATTCGATTCAAGCATGAAATCAACTTTAGAACATCTCTACAATCAAATACCTAATCAATTTTCATCATAACACAAAGTTCCCCAACTTATAATTTAGCCGAATTTTATATAAAAATTTCTAGGAAGATCGAACATGTTTTAACCATAAATCAAGCTTTAAAATGAATCTATAACCTCTGATTCATCAAGATTTATCCTCAACTTCATGAATCATATCATGAACATAAACCCTTAAATTTGGGATCTTTGAAATCCAGCAAGATTAGAAAGAAATATTGGTATCAAATGATAGCGTTTTTCGCATAGATCACTTTCCTATTTCACGACATAACTCGAATTCCAAAGAAATTGGTTCAAAAATTGAAAAGAAATATTTTTCTTACCTTTGGAAGCTATCTCACGTTGAATCTGGAGAATATGAACATTAGCATGATATTTCTTCATCTTTCTTAATTTTTAATGAATTAAAAATTCATTAAATGTCAAATTACCACTTTACCCTTAATATAACTTCATAATTACCATAAAACTAAGATTCCTATCCTTATCATATTCCAAATCAGAGAAATATCAACCTTATCATCTTTCAATAGTCAAAGATGAACAAATTAGTTTTCCACTTTACCGTTTTACCCTTGTAATTTCCAAAAATTATAATTCAGTCACCTTAATGCAAATGTTCAAATTAAACATGAAATTAAACCATTAAATATTATTTTCCAACATTTTAAAAATGTGAAAATAATATTTTTATTTTATTATTTTCGTGACCCATATGTAACTTTTTAAAATTACATTTTGGTCCCTAAACTTTTTAAAGTTTATACTTTGGTCACTAAACTTTACCAAATTTATAATTTGGTCACTAAATAAATCCATTTATGAAATAACATTATTTTTGGGAAAATCAACACTTAATTCCTTAAACTTTTACCAATTTTCTACTTTGACCATCAAACTTTCAAAATTTGCATTTTGGTCACTAGCCCACTTTTTGGGATGTTACACATATTTCACATGCCACTCAATGGACCTTATACGAGTTGTGGTGATAGCATAGTGCACAACTTCTATGTACTTAAGTACCTTAAGTTCTCAACAGTATACATGGGTTTCAAAGATAATAAAGAACTTGATATGATATTATGTGTGTTTATTTGTGAAATGATATATGTGTTATATGATATACATAAATGATAAGTACAAGATCATATGATAAATTGGTTAATGATAATGATAGTATATGTGCATGTACGTATTTTGTTATATGAAATGTTCTATGATTCTATTATATGTTTATTATGCCTCACTAAGTCAACGACTTAGCGTGTGATTGTTTCATATGTAGGTTCCGAGAAGAGGAAGATTGATAAAAGTTATGCAAGACAGGTCAGTTTCTCCTTTCCAAAGATCATACCAGAAAAGAATTGAATCGTTTGTATTTTGTGATATTGATTGTAGTTGGCATGTAAATAAAGGTTTGAATCCGATATGTTCTAATCAGTTTTGTAAAATCATATGATTGAGTTTTGTAATGTTTTAAACGTATATATGTAAATGATAACTTTATAGTGATCAAAGGTTAAATTTTTATGAGTTTTATATATGTTGGCCGAAATTACTGTAGCAAGGTATCGATACACTGTAGCAGGGTATCGATACCCCTGTAGAATTCTGGAAATTTTTTAGCATCGATACTGTTCACGGTATTGTTCATTACTGTTCACAGTACTATTCATACAGTATAGTACTATTCATAAAAATATTTTTCTTTAAATTTATTATAATGAAACATAATTCAGCAGTATATTATTGTATTTCCTGAATATTAGTAAAATTTTTAAAATTGTTCATTATTTTGTACAAGTAAATGTTTTGAAATATCAATGTGACACATGGGATTCGTATCCGGGTCGGGTACGGGTTGGGGTGTTACAATTTTTAGCATTTCTGTTTATTTATTTGGGATTTGATTATGAAATTAATTTGAGATTATATTTTCTTGAAGTTACTTGAAATTCCCCTTATCGAGGGTCGACCAAATCTGGTACTTCTCCTCCGATCAATCAACACTTTACACGTTCTTTAAGAGTGGCTCGTAGATTTCTGTAAATTGTTTAATTTAAAGTTTATTATTTATTTTCCTTTAGGATTTTGAGATAATTTTTCCGATTCATAGGGTCTAGCGCTGCTGCGATCGTGATAGGCAGACCCGATAGTAGGCTACCATCTCAGACTTCTCAGATCAGTACAGGTGTGTTCCTATTTGGTGTTACAATATTGTTTTAAACTATATGTCTGAACTGTTTTGAAATATAAATATTCTGAATGCATGACATTTATTTTACCACATACTCTGACTTCTTATCTCAGATTTACCGTATATTTCAGCATGATCTCTGATTATCGTATTTTTATATCCGATTCTGAAAATGGTATGTTTTAATGTTTTATTAAATTATTGTTTCACTCAAATTCATGCATATTTACTATTATAGGGGGTATGATTGAAGGAAGTATCTCAGGCCTAGTCTTAGACTTGTAAGACCTTATCGCAAACACTATGCTTTGTGCATTGGCTAAGACCTTACCGCATGCCCTTATGCTATTAGCACAAGGTCTTTACCAAAAGTATAATGGGTGTATGGTTAAGTGGGACCTGCACATTCTGGTGTTCAGATAAGGGTAGTGTTCATGTTTTAAAGAACATGTTTTTATAAAATAAATGTTAGTGAAGTATTTGTCTAAATATTTTATACACCGTAAGGAGCATAATGAGTTTTTTAGCTCATTCTTTAATTTTAACTTTTCAGATAATATCAGCCAGTAGGCTAGCGGACTTGGCATTAGGAGGATCGATCTTTCCTCACTTTTGTATCACTGTATATTTCTGTATGCCCTTTTTGTTTTATTTTGATGACACATGTTTTTATTGTCGTCAGTATGTATTTGTATACCGATATTTTGATCTGAACATGATTCCTTACAGACTTCTGATGATATATATATATATATATACTATTATGTATTTTCGTATTTTATCGTTCATCGTATTTATTTACTGAAATGGATTTCAAATGTGGTTTGAATCTGGAAATATTTTTTTGTATACGATATGTGACTGCCTAGATTCGAGCCTACCGTCTAGACTTGGTATAGGGGGTTACAAAACATTTTTAAGATTTAAGGTTTCTTTCTTTCTAATAATTAATATTATTCATAATTGAAACTTATATAATTATACGACTACAATTTATAAACTTAAACATGTCTTAAAAATTGGTAATTCAATTCGATCAATATATATTGACGATAATATCATGTCACTTGGTTATGAGCATATATGCTGATGAAATTATTCAATACACTAAAATGAGGTTGTCTGTAGTTTTTATTTGGAATTAGGTTAAATCATCTAGCATATCTGTTCAACCTATCATTAATTAAATTCATTTATTGCCAATATACATTTATTTTCTTACTACATTTATTCAAACAAAAAGAATAATAGAATATAAAACCCAAACAGCATGAAACAAGCCTAACTGTTTAAAAGAATAATTATTATTTCTAGAGGTATCAGGTTCGAACACTAGAGATTACAAGGTATCTTAACGTTATCAAATGACTGAGCTTTTGGAACAAATACTACCACTTATAATCACCTAAATTAATAAATAAAAAAAAGGAAAGACTCCAACCACATAAAACAAGAAGAAAGCAATGAATGTGCATATCCCAATATCCATTGTTCTTCGTTGTAAAAACTCGTTCACCCCTTCTACTTCGCATGGTCAACGTCCACCCAGATCCCGTACTTTCCTTTTGCAATTATTCCAAGATAAACCCACGTGGGGTGTCTTAATAATTCTGCTCCCACTCCCTTCCAACTCATTTGCCTTTCAACGTAATTCTCATCTTCCAAGTACAAAAGCATTCGGAATTCCCATTCTTCGAGTTCGGGATCAGTTGGCTACAACATGAGTGAATTTATCAAATCAATTAATTCGATTTATTCTATTGGCTTTGTTTAGTTTTAAGTTTTATTTGATTAAAATTTTGAGTTTATGGTGTTTATTCGGTTGATTTGGTAGTTAATTTGTTTAGTCGTAAATATTTGTGTTAGGTTTGGTGTTGAGTCTGTAAGTTAAACTGCAGCAGTGTAACTGTTTTCTTTAAATTAAAATTTTAATTTATTTAAAAAAATTGACAAAGATGAAGACTTTAGGCATTTAGATTTGAGTCTCGTCATAAATATTATATTTGGATTCTAAATCCAACTTCTGTCACTTTTGAAAGAAGTAAATGAATAAAATTGCGGTTGCTAATTGCTGTGTATTTTTGTCGCATATAATATCTGTATGTCTGCCTTTCCGTCTTCATCATAAAACGAGCAATCAATGATTTCAGCGCCTTTATTTTAAAAATATTTAAACAACGATATTAAAGTTTTAGATTTCAGCCATGCATGCAGTTGAGCTAGTCCAGCAAACATTAACATCCAATTTACTTTTCAAAAGAAAAAAGCGTTGATCTTGATAGTTCTGAGAAAATGATGTTGAAACGTGATAGCGGACCTCAACTGAGTGAAGATTCTAGCGCTTTGTAAATGACTACGAAACAAGGAAGGATAGCCCGTGGATTGTAGACAACCAACTCTTCCAGGTTGGAGTAGACGCCGGCGTACACTGCTACAGAATCGTACGAGCCAGTCGAAGTCGATACGCTGCTGTTATTTTCCTCCTCCAGCGGCGGCACATCATCCGCCACTTTCTTCACCCTACCCGCGATTACACGGCAAACCAGCATGGCCCTACGTCCGTCCGTACATTTAAGTGAGTCGTGGGCCCTCCCGCTGCTAGCCGTAGTGCATACTCCTTTGAAGTCAGTGGCTCCTCCACCTTTGCTTTGGAACCCTCGTTTGATTAAGGTGCAGACTCCGCAACCTGGGACCGAACCGCATAAGCTGGAGGAGCCACGCGCTCCGAGGGAGCACGACAATGTGGTGCAGTGGAATCGGAGAAGTTCGTTGCCGTCGGCTGCACACCTGGGATTCTTCCTGGTGCTGTTAACAGCACGTGTTTTCACTGCATCGCGGCAATCCTCGAACCGCTGGATGGTGCGTTGGGTGTTGTGGACTTTCATTATCCGTTCGATCATACAGATCGGGTTATCCTTCTTAAGCCAGCTCGATTTGAAGATAATTTCCACAATGTTCCGGCCCGAATCGTCTGGGCCCAACTCCGAAACTACAACACCAAAAGACCCAAATCATAGTGGAAAATACTACATTTTCGTTTTTGCATTAATGGAAAATATTAAATCGACTGGTCGTCGTCGGTGGGGTCATGGTCCTCACAGACCGTGCAAATCTAGCGCTACAGGTGGGATAAATTGCACTATTGAGAAGTCACCACGTCACAATATTTAGCAAAAGTTGACAGCTGTTACTTTGAACATCAATCGTTAAATGGGTGAACTCGCGAGATTTTAGTGCAATTAATAAGTGCTAAAGCAGATGTAAATTAAGCAGCATAAAAGGAGTGATTTGTCAAAATTTTCAAAAAAAAGTTTGCCTGCTGTAAGTGGTAAAAGAAGTTTGACTGTAATAAGTGGTAGTTAATAATCTAGACATCTAGTGATTGTTTGCTTGGATAATGGTCAAAAAAGAAAGTAATACTCTTTCTAGAACAGAAAAACAAGTTTGCAATTTTGGAATTTACTTTGAGTTCAGACAAAATGGAAAAAAGGGACAACTGTTCAAGAAATTATTGGACGATAATTCAGGAAAACGATAGCGTATTGAGATCAGAGTACCTGCATGGCGAACAGCTTGATGAAGCTCCAAGCTTTCAATCTTTGGGAAGACCTCTCCGCACATTGAGCAGGCACAGATAGTTGTTCTTGAGGATGAATGCCTGATAATTTCATATTTTCTCAAGTAAATTAAGGAGACAAATTTTTTATTTTGTAAAATGAGAATAAAAACAAAATGAAGTTATAGTATATAGATGTTACCTGCTGGGGTCAACGATCATATGACACTCATAACACCCAGAAAGCTTCCTGAATCGCATAACTCTTGACGAAGATGACGTGTAGGCAGTGCTGCTATTATTGGATCTGGTTGACGAGCTATTAGCAGCTTTGCGTTTCAGTAACCCACTTTCTTGACCCACTGTGCTACTTTCTGGCGAGTTATCTGCTCTGTGAACAACCCTCCTCGAGTTGCCATGAACAACGTCCTTGAAGATGCGGATGGAGTTGCAAGAGGAACTCAGCTTTGAGTACCCATGGTGACGAGGCCGATTATTCTTTGAGGGATCATGAACCTTCGACCCTTCCATCTGTTTGCAGCTTAGCAAATTCTTGATTTGGTCCCATGAAGACGGTTGCTTTTGCTTTTTCACCTGGTTTTTTCTACGCTCGGACGGTTGTTTCACTTTCATGGGTTCCGCCGCCGTATCCGGTAAGAAAGTGAGGAGAACCATGGAAATAAAAAACAAAGCAATAGGAGACGATGATAATAAAAAGGAAATGCAGTAGCAGAGATTAGCTCTCTCTCTTTTATAAAAGTGAAGAGCTTTTGAAAAAGAACTTGAGGAGAGTTCCTTTTTCTTTTATGTGGGAAAAAGGAGAGGGATCCGAGACCGGTAATAAGAAGTAAGGACCAAGACGGCACAGTGAGGAGGATGGTGGCACTGGGGTCGCCGTTTATTTATTGCATTTATGTTTCGTCACTTTATGATTTCACTCTCTCCCAACTTTCGTACTAGTGCTTACCTCTTGGACCACTTACTATAAACCCCGACTTGAATGCAAAACTAGTTTCATCAAACGGCTAACCTCTGCTCCACTGAACCAATGATCTACCCATTTTACACCATGATATTTTAGCATTAAAATCAAGATTTGGTACTTATAAGTTGTTCTTTGTACTTAAATGATGATGATAAGAAAGATGAATAATGAGGTTATTTAGTGTGGGATAATAATGTAGAAATGGGGTCTAGAGATTCCAACAATTTGCAAAAGAAAAAGTGCATGAACTAAAGAGAGCATTGTATAGAATACTCTTGGATTAAAATCTATAATTATGGGCAATATTTTTAATCTTTATTGTTATAATAAAATATGACATAAATTAAATAACTAATTATGTTATAAAGTCATAAGGTATTAAAAGTGTCATAGAAATAAAAATGTGGTTGTATTTATAACTTGATGAGGGACATAATTATAAGTATAAACAATAATTGATGAGAAAATAATTTCAGTGACCGAAAATGCCTTATAATATACGATTTTAACCAACTTTTTTTGGATTTGCGAAAATGACCAATAAATTCGCAACGCGAACTCCAATTTCGCAACTCAATTTCCAAATTCGCAACGCGAATATGTAAACCGCATTACGATTTTCCGAATTCGCGTTGCGATTTTCCAAATTCGCAACACGATTTTCAAATTCGCAACACGATTTTCAAATTTGCAATGCGAATATGTAAATCGCAACGCGAATCTGTAATTTGCAACACATAAGTCAAATTCGCAATACAGAAGTCAAATTCGCAAAGCGCGTTTATTTTCGCAATGAGAATTTTATTTTCGAATTCGAAACACAATATTAATTTCGCAACACAAATGTAAACAGTATAATCGTAAATCATAACCTAAAACCCTAAATCACAACTCAGTTTCATCTCTATCTCTCACTCTCTCCGGCGATATCCGTCCCCATCTCCGGCGAAATTCGTTTATCTTCATCTCTCAGAGCCACCTCTCACAACTATTCACGGTCACAAATGAAAAATCAACCACCGAGGGTTAATTTTTTTAATTATTTTTATTTTGAAATTTTTGTATTATTATTAGATTTTTCATATTTAAATTGATGATAAATTTACTGGTAATTTCAATAATAGATTAACCATTTCACTTAGATTGCTTAGTAAATTCATTCGGTTGCTACCAATACTGCTAATCTGTTTAGTCTTTAATCATGTGAAGTTAGTATTTGTCTTTGTTTTGTCTTTTGGTTGAAGTAATGCAATTCATTCAAGTTTCAATTTACAGAAGAATAGTTTTTGAAACTTAAATTCACAACACGAAAATGAAAATCGCAACGTGAAAATGAAAATCACAACGCGATTTTAGTTTCGCATTGCGATTTTCATTTCGCGTTGCGATTTTCATTTTCGCTTTGCGATTTTAAGTTTCATAAACTACTCTTATTCTGCAAATTGAAACTTGAATGAATTGCATTACTTCAACCAAAAAACAAAGACAAATACTAATTTCACAGTGTTACGAATTTAAGTTTAAGAATAAACTACTACTCTTTATGTTGTCCTTGAACCTGCACTAAACCTATATGTTGTCCTTTTAAATGTTTATATAAGTGCTTACTTCTGGAATGTTATCTGATGCATTTTGTGAACTATGATAGAATAATGACTTGGGTCAATACCGTGCTAGTTTGAAACATATTTGGCTTTGTTTTCACTGTTTAATATCATGTCTGTTTATAGTGTATAATTTGTAGTTTTTTGGTATATCTAACTTGGTATGTTTATTGTTTTTGTTAGAAATTTTCTTCGGCTTCATTGACTCTAAGGAATAAATTAAGCCTAGCCACTACAATTGCGTCGACACTTACACCTGTACAAAGAAAATTGTTTGAGGATACTTACTTCAGGTCATGGCTGAAAGTACAACATCCAGGTGGAGATGATATGTTGACCCATTTGTTTCTTCAGACCATGACTAACGATCTACCCGAGAGGATACAACGTGGTGATGAAGAGATATGGTTTCATTTTCCATCGGCGTATACTTGTTTTGGGCGGGAGGAGTTTTGCTTAATCACTGGTCTACGCTTCGGACATGATGAAGTAGGTCGGTACACTAGTCATATCGCCCGCCCATCATGGTTATATCGGGTTTTTCCTGAGCTGGCAAAGGCAAAGCCCAGTTTACACGTCGACGACTTGAAAAGATTACTTGTTAAAGATGGTTTTACTCGGATGGATGACCTAGATGTTGTCTGAGTATGCCTTTTATTACTTTTGTATGCTGACTTTTTAGGCAAAGAGGCCAGACAACCTATTTCTGAGGACCTAATATTATTGGTAGATGACCTAAATGCATGGAACGTGTTTCCGTGGGGTACATATCTATGGAAAGCTACCTGGAAAAAGTTTTCGTCTGCCTTTGAAGACCGAAAAAGTTTGCGTGGCCATGGTTCCAAATACACTTTGGAAGCCTTTATTTGGGCCTTTAAGGTAAGAATTTCTATATAATGTTTCCAAAATTATACTTAATTATTTAACAATTACTAATGTTTGTAGATTTGGATATTTGAGGCTTTTCCCAGCATGCGGACATATGCAATCAAAAATTCAAATAATATTCTTAGGGCTATTTCCTGGAGGAGAATCCGGCTGTTGGACTGGGAAGAGTTACTACCATATACGACGATGAATGATGTAAGTTAACACAAATACTATCATATATAAACAAGTTATTACTAGTAGATGTTTAACTTTGTTTGAGCTTTTATATCGTTAGGAGGCCAACTATCCATTACAGAGACTGACACCCACAGAGGCTGAGCTTGCCGCTGATTGGTGGCAAGCTAGTAAGCGTTTTATTGATGGCACGGATGATGAGCACCCCCGACTTTGAGAGCCATCACCTGATCAAGCCGATTCTACAGCTCGACACCTAGAGCCATCACTTGATCGAGCCGATTATATACCTCCACAACGAGAGCCATCACCTATTTCATCACATCATCGAGCCTCTTCTCCATCATCACCTCATGATAGGTGACCGGCAAAGATGCCACGACATTTATCTCTCTGTTCTCCACCTCCACGGGATGAGTTAGGGGAGTTATGTGATGAGGTCAGTGCTTTGCGTGAGGAGGTCGGTACTTTACGTGACGACAATGGTGCATGGCGTGATGAGGTATGGTCTTTACGTGGTGAGGTAGAGATTTTACGCGATGACAATGGTGCTTTATGTGGTGAGATATCTACTTTACGTGGTGAGGTATCTACTTTACGTGATGAGGTAGCCGCTCTACGTGAGATTGTTGCATCGTTGCAGAATGAGGTTCATACTCTATGCAATGAGGTAGGTTTGTTTAATACTATACTAAAAATGCAAATAACCTTTTTTCGGCATTATTTATTTGTTTATTTACTTATTTATGTATTAATTTATTTTTAGCGGCCCGATAGGTAGATGCTTTACGTTGGGTTTTTTTGCACGACGGGGTTCACGTATCAAACGTCGTGCACGTGCCATTACGTCTCTTTTCACCCCAATACTTCCAAGACTCCGTAAGAAGAATCTTAATTCACCTATCATCGTTCAAGAGGCCCCCTATCTTTCAAGAGGAGACCCCTCCACCATTCAAGAGGCCCCTCTAATCGTTCAAGAGGCCCCTCTCATCGTTCAAGAGGCCCCTCCCACCGTTCAAGAGCCTGATTCACATGGAATATTATATCGACATATTGATAAACCCCCTCACGTACCTGATATTGTGGATTCGAGTTGGCTTTCGTATCAGTTACTGGTCAATACCATTCTGATATCTGAAGTGGAGAGGAGAACACTACCGGACACAATTAAGGATAATACCCTTTGGGCTAAGACCGTAGTTGATTTTTATCTACATGAACGGAGCCAAGGGTATTACGCTGACATATGCAAACTCGACGATGATATGCATTTGTTTCTTGATCGGTCTTGGTGGGGTGTTTTATTAGGGGTTGAAGACAATGGCTATTTCGAATGGGGGTAAGTCTTATATTCTTCTTATATTGTATTTTGATTAATTTTTTTAAAAATTTATTAAATTCACTAATATATGTATTTTTTATAAAATAACATATTGATGCATGGGTGTCACGTCTTCTGATAATAAGGAAATTGAAGAAAATAAAAAATACGCGATGGACTATTATGCCTTCGTTTTTTCACGTAGCTCACTTGAAGGATCAGAGAGAAGCTTCATATGTGTTGGGTAATGGAAAAGATAAACTTTATCCTACGTGGTGGGAGGTCGATAAGGTTAGTATTTATTTTTGAATATTTTAAAGGTGTTCATAAATTTTATTTGATGTGTGCAATTGAATTATTATTTATGATTGCATGTGTTTATCCCTGTTATGGAACGTCGTCATTGGCTTCTCGTCGAGCTTCAGCTCCCATCCCTGAAGACGATAGTATATGACAGCATGTTGAATTACATACCATTATCTGATCTGAGAGATATTATTTGTAAGGGATGGAGCACTCATTTGGCTAAATACTTGGATGCGATTGATTATTGGACTAATTTTGGAAACAAAAAGCCAAAAAAAGTTCAAAGTTACAATGATTAGAGACGAGACAACGCCACAACAAATGGAGGGAGCCAGAGGGGATTGTGGTCCTCTTGTATGCATGTGCTTGGAACGTTTGACGACAGGAAGTAAACAGTTTTTACCTCCCACAGATAGAGATAGAGGTGCAGTAAAGTTGTGGTTTCGGCATTTTATGGCTAGAGCGATATATGCGAGACATTGCCTACCTGCATCCGCGTGCTGAAAGTGTGCATAAACAACACAATTT